GGGGGCCAGGGCAGAAAAGGCCCTGGCCCCGGTTGAGGCTGTACGGACGTCCTTTGAGCCAGGGACCACCAGGAGATGTTGATTACTAGAGCGTAAAGCTCTTCGAGGTGTATACGGGAAGAGGCGTATATTGTATTTTGGAAACCAAGATCTGACCCTGGAAGCATACGTCAGTCGGTATTTTTCCCTTCACTGCATGTTGCTGAGTTACATACAAGATCTTTTCTGTTGCAAACGCAAATTGTATGTAGGCCGCCGGCCCACCATTGTTCCCGCTAAGCTGAGTTAGTGTGAGCTAGCTGACAGTTTTTAGCCTCCAGCTCACACATTTTTGTCTTAGCCATGGGTCATTTCGTAGAAAAAGAGGTGCAGGAGCTCATTAGCATAACTCATTCGCATAACTTATTTGCATATGCCAAACCCCCTGACATCACCGGAAGTGTGTCAGGAGGCAACACCCACCGCTCAGGCTCCACTGGACTGTTTTGGATTGCTAGCTATAGAATGGGGACGTGCAGATCTGTCCTCGCAGAGGAGGGAGAGCTTGTACCTGAATAAAAGTTGGTCTTAAAGGTGCCACTGGACTGTTTTGGACTGGGGGGACTGGGGGGGCTCTGCAACTTACTTGGCTGCTTCTTGCTCTGACTGAGGGCTGCTGGGAGCAGGGGGTGGGGCTTGTTGCATGTGCCCGCCCCCTGGGCTTTTTAGTGCCGGAGCTCCGCTCCTGTGCGCTCCTGCAGGAAATGACCCCTGATGTTGATTAAGTCAAACCTATCCTGATGGTTACTAGAGTGAGTTTCTCAGAATCTTCGGGGGGATGAGAGGGGATGATGGAGAAGGAGGGGGTGGTCAAAGGCTGGAATGAAACCTCCATATGCAAAAGGCTGAATATATAGGAATGCCACTGGCTTGGGGAGGGGTCATAGTGGGGCCAGCTGTGCCCTTTGTGCGATGTTTGGGGGTTTCTCTAAAACATCTGGTTAGCCACTGGAGAAGATGGAATGCTGAAGGGTTCATTTCCGTTACTTCCTTGCAGTGAAAGAGGCTGAAGTTCTGACCCAGGAGCGTATGATGGTGACTGAGGCTCTGATGACCACACTCGGGTAAGTCAGTGGCAGTAGGTCAGAGAGAAGAAAGTTGCGAACAACATTTTAAGCTGGGTGGGCAATTATTCGTATTTTAGAGACTGGGAATTGAACCCACTGGAATTCAAATCAGCGTTTTACCACAGTAAAACAGCTAGTCCGCAATGCCCCTCTACATTGGACAAACAGGCCAGTCCCCATGGCGAAGAATAAATGGATAAATAAATACGTCTGACATTAGGAAGCACAATATTCAAAAACAAGTGAGGGAATATTTTAACCTTCCAGGACATTCAGTTGCTGGAGATTAGAGAGACTGCTGAATTGCAAATGATAATGAAACTCAAGAGAATATATCCTCCTGGACTGAATCAAGACCTAGGTTTCCTATCACATTACCAATGCTGATTTCTCTGTGTTTACACCCCCTCTGCATATCACACCCAATCCAATCATGCCTGCCTGCTATTGTCATTCACTTCCTATTGTCATTTGCCTGCTATTGTGATTCAGCATCTGAAATGGCTCCGCTCTCCAAGATATAAGGACAGATGGACTCACATTCTAGCTGTATCCAAAGAAGTGAGCCATGACTCATAAAAGCTCATACCCTGCCACAAGTTTTGTTCGTCTCTAAGGTGCTACTGGACTTGTGCCCTTTAACACTGAAGTAGAACAAAGTTTGAGTCCAGCGGCACCTTTAAGACCAACAAAGTTTTATTCAAGGTGTGCGTATGCACACAAAAGCTCGTACCTTGAATTAAACATTGTTGGTCTTAAAGGTGCCGTGGGACTCAAACTCTGTTCTACCGCTTCAGACCAAGACCAACACGGCTGACCACACTGAAGTAGTAAGTCTCAACTCAGAAATCTCAAACTGACCCCCCCCTTTCCTTTTTCTATCTGCATTTTTTAAAAACGATGATTGCAGCTGTAATACTGTTATGGGAGAGCTTAGATTAGGCAGGGCCCCCTCTTCCAAGAACATCTCTCGGGGAGAGAAATTCACCCAAGGCATTTGGCTAATGGAGCACATCAGGGGTCATTTAGTAGAAAAAGAGGTGCAGGAGCTCATTAGCATTGCTTATTTGCATATGCCACACCCCCTGACCTCACCGGAAGCATGTCACAAGGCAACACCCACTGCTCAGGCTCCACTGGACGGTTTTGGATTGCTAGCTATTGGGGGGACGGGGAACGTGCAGATCTGCCCTCACAGAGGAGGGAGAGCTTGTACCTGAATAAAACTTGGTCTTAAAGGTGCCACTGGACTGTTTTGGATTGCTAGCTATTGGTGGGGGGGAACATGCAGATCTGTCCTCACAGAGGAGGGAGAGCTTGTACCTGAATAAAACTTGGTCTTAAAGGTGCCACTGGACTGTTTTGGATTGCTAGCTATTGGTGGGGGGGAACATGCAGATCTGTCCTCACAGAGGAGGGAGAGCTTGTACCTGAATAAAACTTGGTCTTAAAGGTGCCACTGGACTGTTTTGGATTGCTAGCTATTAAATAAATGCAGAAACAAGAAAAAACCCCAACACAAAGTGAAAGTGGAAGCGGGAGGGAATGCAGAATGGAGGAATAGGATGTGCTTAGAAACCAGGGCAAAATACAGGTGCAGAAAGGGCCAATGTTTACAAACACAATAAAAATCAGTATATGTGGTTACAGATGTTACATTGCTTGGAGGCAGTGGGGTTCCATAACAGGCCTTGCATTTTGGAAAGGCAAATGTTCAGTCAGTTAGTGAATAATTTATTATGTTCATGGACCAGCATCTGGTCTTTATTAAGGATGATCACCCTGATGCCTGCAAGAGCAGATGATTTATTTTATTCTTTACTTATTTTAATAGATCTATGAATCGGCCACCCTGCAAGCAGGCTCTGGGTGATTTACAACCTTATAAACAATTAAAACACAATGAACATATAAGTAAAATTATCTGCAGTAGAACCAATGCAAGATGGCATAATAGTCCTCCTTTGCCGGCTGCACCGCTGTCCTGCGTAGAAGAAAAAGAGAGAGAGGGTGCCAGTCCTAACCTCCCATTGCTGCCCTCAACTCAAAGCCTGGCGGAACATCTCTGCTTTTCAGGTCCTGCGGGATTGCATCAGATCCCACAGGACCCTGATGTTGTTCGGCAAAGAGTTCCACCGAAAAGGCCCTGGCCCTGGTCGAGGACAGCCGGACCTAAAGGACAGCCGGACCTCCCTAGGGGATCATCATACAAGCACACTGAGAAAGATACTGAGTCCTTCCTTTATAGGATAAAGTAGGTAAAAGGTCAGGGTCTTGAATTTTGAAGACAGTTAATCAATTCTGTCCCCAATCATAATTCTCCCTAACCTCTGTTCAAAGTACATACTGCATTCCAAAAAATAAAAACAAACCATGAAGTGTATGTTGCCGAAGGCTTTCATGGCCGGTGTTCGTTAGTTGTTGTAGATTTCCTGGGCTGTATGGCCATGGTCTTGGCATTGTAGTACCTGACTGTCATGGCTCAGGGGGGTGTCACCTGATGCTGCCACCACTCTGGATTTAGGTTCCCTTGAGAAGGCCCAGAGCACCCTCCCAAGACCTTCAGACCTCCCTTTTGGCCGAATAAAAGGCGTGAGGACCAGGCAGAGTGAAACAAGGAAAAGGTTTATTTTATAAGAGGTCAAACAACAAGGTGCAGAATAATAACAGTAAGTGGGTGAAAAGAAAAGAAATCAAATGCCCTAACGCGTCTAAATATATACTGTCCCTAGCTCACTATTCCAAGTGACACTAGACTACTCACCCTTCCCTCAGGATGAGGGTCTCTTCCTGCAGCAGCCCTCCTTCTGGCTAGGTCCCCACACACACCAGTGTTCTCTTCTCTAAACTAAAAAGTCCTAGACTCTTCACATAGGGAAGGTGCTCCAACTCCCTAACCCAGTGATGGCGAACCTTTTAGAGACCAAGTGCCCAAACTGCGACCCAAAACCCACTTACTTATTGCAAAGCGCCAACACTGCCATTTAACCTGAATACTGAGGTTTTACTTTAGAAAAAACAACTCATCTGGCATCCTCAGAGGTATAACACAGAAAGATGGAGTACTCTCTGTGTCAAGTTGAGAAGAAAAATGTGTCACGTTGACACAGAGAATACTCCACCTTTCTGTGTTATACCTCTGAGGATGTCAGTCACAGCTGCTGGCGAAACATCAGGTACTACAATGCCAAGACCACGGCCATGCAGCCCAGGAAATCTATAACAACTAACAAACCATGAACTCTTCCCTGAATGATAGCAGGGCTTGACTGATCCTTGACTGAGATAATGCTGCTAAGGGAACAGAGGTAAAAAAGAACAGATCCACAACAGTGGGAGTCAAAATAGGAACACAACATTTCTAAAATTTGGCAAACCAACGTAGGCTCATCATTACAAGACACGGAAAATTCCTTGACAAAAGCAATGTGTGTAAGTCGACACTGTAATCATGCCAATCGGATGTTATCAGAGAAGCTTCCCACATGATCGGCTTCCTGTTTTCAACCAGTGAGCAAGATGTGAACCAAATCAGCTGGTGGTTAAACCAGGGGTCATTTCGTAGAAAAACTTTTTTCTCTCCCTCCAGGGCTGTGATATCCCTTTTGAAATATGGTGGCCAGAACTGTACACAGTATTCCAAGTGAAGTCACACCATGGATCTATGCAGGGGCATTATAATATTAGCTGTTTTATTTTCAGTCCCTTTCCTAACAATCCCTAACGTAGAGTTTGCCTTTATCACCCTACAGCACACTGGGCTGACAGTTTCCTTGAGCTTTCTACTTTGGTCCCAAGACCGTTTTTCCTCTCAGTCTCAGCAAGTTCAGACTCCATCAGCCTTTACTTGAAGCTGGGATTTGTTTTTTGTTTTTTTGTCCCTATGTGCATCACCTGACACTAACCAACACTGAACTTCATCTGCCCCATTGTCGCCCACTCACCCGATTTGTGGAGATCCTCCTGGAGTTCTTCACAGTCATCCTTGGCTTTCACCGTCCTGAATATTTTTGTGTCATCTGCAAATTTGGCCATTGCACTACTCACCCCTTGTCCCAGACCATTCATTAACAACTGAATTAGTACCAGCCCCAGTACCAATCCTTGTGGGACCCCACTGCTTACTTGTGAGACTTGAATGGGTGAATTCCTGATCAGCAACTCACTTAGCCACTACACCATACAATACTATACACTACACTACACCAACTCTTTACACTAGCCTGAATGGCCAGAAGTTAACTTCTATCTGTCTGTCTGTCTGTCTGTCTGTCTATTTATCTATCATCTATCTATCTGCCTCTGTCTGTCTCTATCATCTATCTTCGATCTATCTTCGATCTATCCTCGATCTATCTGCGATCTATTTATCATCTATCTATCTGTCTCTGTCTGTCTCTATCTATCATATCTATCTATCATCTATCTATCTATCATCTATCCAGAGGTCATTTTGGGGGGGAATGCGGGGGAACACAGTTCCCCCGGGTGAGGTGCAGGGGGGCGGGGGCACACAACGAAGCCCCACCCCCTTCTTCCGGCAGCCCCCTGCTTCCAGCCTCATTCTGTTGCAGAAGGACGAAGAAGCAGGAGGGTAAGTTGGCGTCCTCCCCCTCTGCCTGGTCGAGGCCACTCCACGTGGCCTCCGCAAGGACTCCCAGCCCCATCCAGGAGCTTCCCCGAGGTAGCTGTGTTAGTCTGTTGCTGCAAAATAGTCCAAGAGTTCAAATAGCACCTTTAAGACTAACAAATAGCACCTTTAAGACTAACCTTTAAGTTACCTATCATCTATCACATCTATCTATCTCATCTACCTATCATCTACACTTGAGCCACCGCAGCTCCTCAGAAGGGAACTCAACAGGCATTTAAATGCTTCCTGAGATGTCTTTTCCCAGGTCTCAAGATGCCCACCAAGGATTTCACAGTGGGAGGGAGAAGGAAGCCGGAGGGCAAGCCACAGTGCCACGTAGGGCTGCCAAGTCTCCCGGGGGGGGGGGCTGCCCCCGCTAAAAGGCGCCCCAATCCGCCCACCCCCGAAGTGGCCAGATCGGGCCGACGTGCCCGGCACGATGACGTAGCCCGGAAGTGACGTCATCACACTGGGCACGTCACCGGGCGATGCTCTAGCAACTACCCTAAAACCTCTATGGTACCATAGAGTTTTCAGGCCAGAGAGGGCCCTGAACTCGACCACTATTACTTTGGTAAGACTTGGCATCCCTAGTGCCACTGCCTGTGGGGGTCTCTCCTCAAAAATAAGGTTTTCACACACACACACAAAATACTTCCCAAAAATGTTTCTGCCGTGGCTATTTGTGGGGCAGGGCTTCTAATTAAGGGGGCGGGGCCCCAAAACGCCCCACTGTAGCTACGGGCCTGCTCCCAACGGTGTTACCAAAACAGAATTTATTAATTCTGTGATGTTGAGGATCCAAATCAGTGGGGGGGTGGTGGTGGCAGATCTATTTGTTTAAACCAGACTCTGTGCAAAGGAAGTATGAAGGGAGGGTGGAGCTTTGGATGCTCTGGTGAACGGGACTCGACATTTCCTAGGTGGGAGGGAGAGTGCAAAGTCTGAGTCCAGTCACACTTTAAAGATCAACAAGGTTTTAGATAATAAAGGGAGCTTTGATCCTCAGAAGCTCATACCCCAAAAATCTTGTTAAGAACATAAGAACATAAGAGATGCCAATGTTGGATCAGGCCAAAGGCCCATCCAGTCCAACACTCTGTGTCACACAGTGGCCATCAGGAGTTCCAGCAGTGGGGCCAGGACACTAGGAGCCCTCCCACTGTTGCCTCCCCCAAGCACCAAGAAGACAGAGCATCCCTTGCCCCAGAGCCCCTAGCTATACCTTGTGGCTAATAGCCACTGATGGACCTCTGCTCCAGATGCCTATCTAATTCCCTTTTGAAGCCGTCCATGCTTGTAGCCACCACCACCTCCTGTGGCAGTGAATTCCATGTGTTCATCACTCTTTGGGTGATGAAGAAGTACTTCCTTTTATCCGTTCTAACCCGACCGCTCAGCAATCCCACGAGTTCTTGTATTGTGAGAAAGGGAGAAAAGTACCTCTTTCTCTACCTGCTCTTTCCCATGCATAATCTTATAAACCTCGATCATGTCACCCCTCAGTCATCGTTTCTCCAAGCTAAAGAGCCCTAAGCGCCTTAACCTTTCCTCATAGGGAAAGCGTTCCAACCCTTTTATCATTCGAGTTGCCCTTTTCTGCACTTTTTCCAAAGCTATAATATCCTTTTTAAGGTGTGGTTTCCAAGTCGCTATTGGACTCCAATCGTGCTTGTCTGTTGCTGACCAACATGGCTTTCAGGATCCAGTCTAGTGAGGTGGGGGTGCTGGATGGAGATCAAGAACCAAGGACATTCAGGGAGCTAGTTTCATGTGGGCATACATGCTGGGCTGCAGTCAAAGAGCAAGATTCAAGTCTTGTAGCCTCTTAAAAACCAACAGGATCTCCAGGTTATAAGCCTTCGAGAGTCAGATACCAGGATGAAGGGAGTTGCGACTCTCGAACTCAGGGGTGTCAAACATAAGGCCCGGGGGCCTGAACCTGCCCATCCAGGGCTTTTACCCGGCCCGCATTCAATCAATGCACCCTCTAAGCTGTGGAGTCTTATGAGCATAAGACTGCTTTGTGAGCTACTGGCATTAAAGCTGTGAGCCAGTCATTTGGCTACTGCATAAATTAGTTTGCTCTGGAGCCATCCTTCCCGAGCTAAGACAAAAATCCGTGAGCTGGAGGCTAAAAAACTGTGAGCTAGCTCACACTAACTCAGCTTAGAGGGAACACTACATGCAACTGGTATGTATGGAAATGTAAGGTATCCCCTTTTATGGTATCCCTTGGGAAAACCTCGTCTTCCATGTAATTAAATACCTCTTTGGGGGCTTTTGTGGGTCCCCCAGTGAATCAATTGCTGTCACTGTAAGGAATCGATTGCTTTTGTTTGTATTTTGAGTAAAAAAATGTTAACCGGGTTTGCCTACGTTTTTTATAAAGTTTTCATCTCTGGTATGTGGCAGTACATTTTATGGCACATGGATGTCAAATCCAGCCTTTGTAACAAATGAGTTTGACACCTGTGCTGTAACTTCTACCCTGGAAATCTTGTTGCTTTAAGGTGCTATTGCACTCTTGTTTCTAACTAGAAAGATACAGCAACAGTCCATCTCTCCTTTTCTCTTTTTCAGAGTTGGCATTTCAGCTCAGCCTCCAGAAGCCAAGAAAGGTAATGGAAAATAGTGATAACTTTATTTTAAAAAAATAAATAAATCTGCACCACAGTCTTCCGTTCCTTAAATCTTTCTCTGATATTGATCATTTAACAGTGGTAATCTTGAACTGCCTGTTCAATGAAATTATTTTTTAGTGGAAAGCAGAAGAGGGATAGGAGCCAATTTGGTGTGGTGGATAAGTGCGCGGACTCTAATCTAGGAGAACCGGGTTTTGATTCCCCACTCCTCCACTTGCAGCTGCTGGATGACCTTGGGCAAGCCATCGTTCTGTCAGAGCTGTTCTCTCAAGGGCAATTCTACTTTGTGAGCTTATAGCATTAAAGTTGTGAGTGACTTTAATGCTATAAGCTCACAAAGTAGAATTTTTGCTCACAAGACTCCGCAGCATAGAGGAAGCATTTCAACCAAGTAGAGCTCAAAAACCTTTGGCAACTGTTCAGAATTAATTGCTGTGGTTTATAGAGATGTATCTTGTTCATATCTCTTGAAAGGCAAGTGTATTTTGTATTCAGGTAATTGATCCGAAGTGCATTGGTTTCTGGAGAAGAGGTTCATGAAACCACATAGGTGGCAGGCTAGTAAGATTTTGTTGTGGTCTGCTTAATTTTGCATCGTTGTTTCTTAAATGTTGTCATTTATCCAGTCTCAAAATACACATTGGATTTCAGGCCTTCTCACTTCAGATATTTCTAAAAATGGCCTTCCTTGGTAAAAAGAGACTGAACTTTTCTTGCGTAACTGTCTATAACAATCTCAGAACAAAGTTTTATTCCTGGTATAAGCTTTCATGCGCATGCGCATATAAGCTTATATCAGGAACAAAAATATGTTGGTCTTCAAGGTGCCGCTGGACTCAAATTTTGTTCTGTTGCTTCAGGCCAACACGGCAACCCCACCTGAATCTGTAACAGTCTCATTAACTGTGTCTTTGCTGTTCTCCTTTAAAGTGCTGCTTTATTCGCCAAGCTGTGTTTTTCAGAGGGAAGGGGCATTTGTTGGCATGTTAACGCTTGCTATGCACCATGTTCTCCCTTTGGCAGGAGAAAGAGAAAGCATCAAGGGCCACCTGTCGCTTGCCGAAGTTGGGACGGAGGAATTCCTGCAGAAACTGACATCGCAGATCACGGAAATGGTATCTGCAAAAATAAGTCAAGGTAATTACTCAACTGGTGCTAACTATTTCGGTTAAGCGTGAGGTGGTGAATTTCTGATTTATTTGCTTCTTTCCAATAGGCAGTTATTAGCCTAACACCCCCACCCCCCAAATGCATGACCATCTTCAAAGAGAACATAAGAAGAGCCCTGCTGGATCAGACCAGGGAGGGTCCACCTAGTCCAGCAGCCTGTCCCACACAGTGGCCATCCAGTTACTCTGGAGGGACAACAACAAGACACAAAGGTCGAGGCCGTCCCTGACGTTGCCTCCTGGTACTGGTATTCAGAGGCTGTCTGCCTCTGGATGTGGAGGTTCCCTTTAGACACCATGGCTGGAGGTTTGCTGTCTCCCTCTGGTCATTTTCACTTTGCAGAGGCTCATGCCTTTGGTCATTTTTCAGCCTTTCCCCCACATGAATGGCTCTCAAAAGCTCAGGGAGCAGTGGCGCAGGGAGCTAAAGCACCTGCCTTAACATCTAACGAACAGCTTGTAGGCTGTTCAATACCCACCGCGGCCGGGGTGAGCCTAGTCCCAGCTCCCGCCCACCCAGCGGTTCGAAAGTCATAACAACTTACGAGTAGATAAATGGGTACCTGCCTTAGAAGGCAGGCAGTACCCTCCTCCACTGGGAGGTGAGGTGGGAACCTCAGCAGCGTCGGTTCGGCGAGCGGCGGCGGTGGCAGCAGCGGAGTGGCGTGTAATGGCGGCAGTAGTCGAGGCGGTGAGCGGAAGAAAAAGGAAATGTGACATCTAGCGGTGAACCGGCGGCGAAGGCGGAGCCCGGAAGGCGTGAGGACGCTCGGCGCAGGCGCGGCGGAGCCTGAGGGACGGAGCCAGTGCCGTGCCGATGCGATCAGCACGACGGATGGGCCCGCACCGCTCTTTTTGTAGCAGGTACTCATTTGCATATTAAGCGACACACCCCTAATGTAGCCAATCCTCCAAGAGCTTACAGTAGCTGCTGTAAGAAGAGCTCTGTAAGCTCTTGGAGGATTGGCTACATTAGGGGTGTGTCGCTTAATATGCAAATGAGTACCTGCTACAAAAAGAGCGGTGCGGGCCCATCCGTCGTGCTGATCGCATCGGCACGGCACTGGCTCCGTCCCTCAGGCTCCGCCGCGCCTGCGCCGAGCGTCCTCACGCCTTCCGGGCTCCGCCTTCGCCGCCGGTTCACCGCTAGATGTCACATTTCCTTTTTCTTCCGCTCACCGCCTCGACTACCGCCGCCATTACACGCCACTCCGCTGCTGCCGCCGCCGCCGCTCTCCGAACCGACGCTGCTGAGGTTCCCACCTCACCTCCCAGTGGAGGAGGGTACTGCCTGCCTTCTAAGGCAGGTACCCATTTATCTACTCGTAAGTTGTTATGACTTTCGAACCGCTGGGTGGGCGGGAGCTGGGACTAGGCTCACCCCGGCCGCGGTGGGTATTGAACAGCCTACAAGCTGTTCGTTAGATGTTAAGGCAGGTGCTTTAGCTCCCTGCGCCACTGCTCCCTGAGCTTTTGAGAGCCATTCATGTGGGGGAAAGGCTGAAAAATGACCAAAGGCATGAGCCTCCAAACTAGCATGGGGAAAATTGCTTCCAGGCCCTAAAGGGCCACGAGAACTACTGCTCACCTTACCTACTGCTAGCCAGGCTCTCTGGGCCTAGTAGGCCGTGCTTGCACAGCCCAGATCATGACACGGGCTTACTCCCAGGAAAGTGTTCGTAGAATTATAGAATCATAAGAGTTGGAAGGGACCTCCAGGGTCATCTAGTCCAACCCCCTGCACAATGCAGGAAATTCACAAGTAACCCCCACCCACACCCCCGTGACCCCTGCTCCACGCCCAGAACATGACAAAAAATATTTCCAATGTGAATCTTTTAATAAATTATCCTTCTATTTCAGCCACGCTTCGGGTCCCCGGAGCCGACAGTGATGATGAATCGAAAACACCATCCGCGTCTCCAAGACATGGCAGATCCCGGCCATCATCAACGGCTCAGGAGTCTTCCTCTGAGTCTGATGAAGGGGATGCGAGAGGAGAGGTATAACGACTTTCTAAATGAAGTTTACTCAACCATTCCTTGATGAGAAGGATTTCAGCATTCCCAGCATGGACTTCACTCCATGTGATTCTCAGATCATTAAAGGGAACTGAATTTTCGTCTCACCGTGGTCAGGTGGATAGTTGCTGCTATGCTGGCTCTGAGGTGCGAGATCTGCAAAATAACATGCCCTGCTGTTGTTTCTGGAGAAATTTTAAAACAGATCGAAAACATTTTTTAAGAAGACAGGGACATCCGTTAAATGCACTAGAAACTGTGTTTTCAAGACTTCTGATTTCTTTACAGTCCTAAGGAGTGGCTTCCTAATTCTGATCGTAAAAGATTAGGAACAGTCAGTTCCCCTCCAGCTGCCGTGCATGAATATGGGCAGTGTTCCCCCTAAGCTGAGTTAGTGTGAGCTAGCTCACATTTTTTTAGCCTCCGGCTCACACAATTTTTTTGTCTTAGCTCAGGAAGGAGGGCTCCAGAGCAAACTAATTCATGCAGCAGCCAAATTGCTCGCTCACAACATTAATGCCAGTAGCTCACAAAGTAGAATTTTTGCTCACAAGACTCCACAGCTTAGAGGGAGTATTAATGATGGGTTCCCTGAAGAGGTGAGAGGAGCCCCCTCTTGGAGATCTTCAGGGTGCATCACAAGGCCAACTCATCTGCTAAGGCTTTTGAGGGGGTTCAAATGGTTAAATGAGTGGCGGCTCAGCAGTTAAGATGCTTAGTTGCAGACCGGAAGGTCGGTAGTTCAGCAGTTCGAGACCCGAGTGCCACATGACGGAGTGAGCTCCCGTCTCTGGTCCCACCTCCTGCCAACCTAGCAGTTCAAAAGCAAGAAATTGCAAATAGATAAATAGGTACTGCTTCGTTGGGAAGGTAACAGCGTTTCGTGCACTTCAGCAACTAGTCATGCCGGCCACATGACCATGGAGAAATCTTCGGACAGTGCTGGCTCTTCAGCTTGGAAACAGAGATAAGCACCACTCCCCTAGAGTCGGATTCGACTGGCCTTCGAGCAAGGGAGACCTTGACCTTTACCTTTAAATGGCAGACATCTTTTATGGAGGGGGAGGAAGATATGGGGTTTGTTATTTTATTCTGGTTTAACTGTAAAAAAATTTAAACTATTATTTATTTATTATTAGGTTTGATTTTTAAGCTGTCCTTCCCTGCAAAACAGGGCTCCGGGTGGTGTACAGTATACTATCATTGTAAGCTACCTTGAACCATGAGGAAAGACAGGATATAAATGTTTAAATAAATAAATAAATAAATGTTCCATGGAAGAGGGCAGAAAAACCAGCCAAACTCCATGGAAGCTGACATGATCGAGGTTTACAAAATTATGCACAACTATGCATGGGATAGAGAAGGGAGAAAAAGAAGGACTTTTCTCCCTTTCTCACAGTACAAGAACTCGTGGGCAGTCAAGGAAATTAATGAGCAATAGGCTTGGAACTTATGGCGCTGCGGTGGCTCAAGTGGTTAAGACGCTGAACTGCAGGCTGTGGAAGGTCGGTAGTTCAGCAGTTCGAGACCCGGGTGCCGCATGACGGTGTGAGCTCCCGTCTCTAGGTCCAGCTCCTGCCAACCTAGCAGTTCAAAAGCAAGAAATCACTGTCTGGGGCAGTGATGCTGTGTCTTCCTGGGTCTTTGGGGGGCCAACAGTGGAGGGGCTTCTGGAATTCTGGCCTGCTGCTGGACCTCCTGATGGCACCTCATTTTTGGCCACTGCGTGACAGAGTGTTGGACCGGATGGGCCATTGGCCTGATCCAACATGGCTTCTCTTCTGTTCTTCTGTTCTTAAATATCAGGCTCCAAGGGCCTACACTGCAATCCATATGTGTCTTATTCTCTCTGCATCTCAGTACTTTTTGCTTTCTCTCTAAAGTACAATTAATAAGACCTTTGCCCGCAGATTTTCGACATCTACATGGTCACCGCTGACTATACCCCCATGGGTGCCGACCGGGAAACTATCACGCTGAAGGAAGGGCAGTATGTGGAAGTCCTGGACTCTGCTCATCCTCTGAAGTGGCTGGTTAGGACCAAACCCACCAAGTCCAGCCCCTCCAGGCAGGGTTGGGTTTCTCCGGCCTACCTGGATAAAAAATTAAAGGTGAGGATCATCCCTGGGTTAGAACTTCCCCCTGCTCCCACCGGAAGACTGATTAATTGGTATCGCAGTGAAATTTGGTTTTGAGAGTCAGTTTGGTGTAGTGGTTAAGTGCGCGGACTCTAATCTGGGAGAACTGGGTTTGATTCCCCACTCCTCCACTTGCAGCTGCTGGATGACCTTGGGCAAGCCGTAGTTCTGATAAGAGCTGTTCTTGAAAAAGAGCAGTTTCTGTCAAGAGCTCTCTCAGCCCCACCTACCTCACAGGGTGCCTGTTGTGGGGAGGGGAAGGGAAAGGAGTTTGCAAGCCGCTCTGAGACACCTTCGGGGAGTGAAGGGCAGGGTATAAATCCAATCTCCTCTTAAATACTTCACGGCAGAGATTTTCTCCAGTAAACGATGGTTGTTTCCTTATCTGCGGAATGGCCTGTCTCGAAGAACCCCACAAAGCCCCTGCTGGCCATAAGACTGGGAATATATGACATCTGTCCCCTTTGTTTTAGATATCAGCTGAATGGGGCATTCCAGAGGTTCCAGAGTTCCCCGGGGAATCTGTTTCAGAGGACGACTACAAAAAGAAACTGAGGTGAGCCCTTCCTAACATATCCTTCCCCGGAGGCCTGATTTCTCTTTTCCTCTGTTGTTATTGGGGCTTCCCTATCTTTACGGGGTCAAATAAGTACATGGGAACTTAGAGGAGTGTGTGAAGTTGTCTTAGTAGAGGCTGCTCTGTACAGAGGTGTGGCGAGGCAGTGGTCTCTATTGGTACCTTGCCTCTTTCAGCTCTGCTGCTAATTTTCTCTGTTTATTTATATTTATTGATTGATTGTTAAATTTATACCCCGCCCTCCCCGGATGAGCTCAGGGCGACTAACAGATGGGCACATATGCCAGAATTCAACAGGTAGAAACAGAATAAAACAAGAAATAAAACGATCATTCATATAAAATGCAAGTGCTCTAGATGTCACAAATAGCAGATGGGGTCACACAGGACAAAGTGGTCCCAGAGCGTCACGATAGACTCCAGATGGTACAACGATCCGTCCTTCCTCGATGACACCCACTCCATTGAGTGGTGGTGGTACGGTGATGGTATAGTGATGGTGGTGGCTCCTACTCAAAAGCCTGGCGGAAGAGCTCCGTCTTACAGGCCCTGCGGAACTGCGCCAAGTCCCACAGGGCCCGGATCTCCTCCGGGAGCTCATTCCACCAGGTAGGAGCCACCACTGAAAATGCCCTGGCCCTGGTGACAGGGTACTCTCGGTGGTGCCCCCCCCCCAATTCACCCCCAGCCCTGTAGATGGAGCAGCTCATTCTCCTTCACCGCTCACTCCCAGGGTTACCAAATCCAATCTGGGAAATCGCTGGAGATCTTGGGGCAGTGCCTGTGGATGGGAGAATTTGGGAAGGGCTTTCACCCTGTTCTATGGGAGGAAAGTAATGGCGAACCTAAACAGCATGATAAAAAGCAGAGACATCACCCTGCCAACAAAAGTCTGCATGGTCAAGGCAATGGTATTCCCAGTAGTCATGTATGGCTGCGAAAGTTGGACTATAAGGAAGGCCGAGCACCGAAGAATAGATTCTTTTGAACTATGGTGCTGGAGAAAACTCTTGAGAGTCCCTTGGACTGCAAGGAGATCAAATCAGTCAATCCTAAAAGAAATCAACCCTGACTCTTCCCTGGAAGGCCAGAGACTGAAACTGAAGCTCAAATACTTTGGCCACCCAATGAGAAGGGAGCACTCACTGGAGGAGAAGGCCCTGATGCTGGGAGAGATTGAAGGTCAAAGAAGAAGGGGACAGCAAAGGATGAGATGGTTAGACAGCTCCTTCTTTTGCCTCCTAGGCTTGCCAGCTCCAGGCTGTGGAATTCCTGGAGGTTCCATGTTCAGAGGCAGTCAACCTCTGAATCCCAGGGCCAGGAGGCAACGTCAGGGGGAGTCCCTTGGACTGCTAGGAGATCAAATCAGTCAATCCTAAAAGAAATCAACCCTGACTGTTCCCTGGAAGGCCAGATATTGAAGCTGAAGCTCAAATACTTTGGCCACCAAGTGAGAAGGGAGCACTCCCTGGAGAAGACCCTGATGCTGGGAAAGATTGAAGGTCAAAGAAGACGGGGACGGCAAAGGATGAGATGGTTAGACAGTGTCATCGATGCAACGAACATGTAATTGAGCCAACTTCAGAGGACGGCGGAAGACCGGAAGGCCTGGTGTGATCTGGTCCATGGGGCC